CTCCTACTGGGATGTGCTTTGCCTGTCTAAGCCCAGAGAAACCCACAGTATCTCCCCTGCCTGGGCATGGTCTGGGCCCAGCACTGCACGCACCACAGCAGAACCTGTTGTTTCTGAGTCGTCCTTCCCTCTCTGGTCCAGGTTGGTAGTGCCTGAGATGTGATGGCTGCGATCTGACCCATGGGAAATGCAATGTCTCAGGCCAGTTTCAGCCAGGTAAATCCATGCATGGCTCTCTAATCTGGTTACTTATCCAGTCTGTACCATCGCCTAGTCCAGGGGTTAGCAGCCTATGCTGTGATCGCACGGCACGAGGTGATCAGCAAACAGCAGGGGTTTTATTTTGCTGGCTTAGGTGGAAAACTGTTCTTTCTCTTTGTACCAGCATACAGATAACTGGATGGTATCTTGTGCTCTGCAGGTGGTAGGAGCTCCTGCCTTCTGCTGAGTTCCTACAAGTTTGGGGGGAAAAAATGTTCTCTGTGAGGTTGCTGACCCCTGGGTTATGCTATGCATGAATACACTTAACAGAGGGAGCAGTGCTGAGCCCCTGCAGTATCACAGTACAGAATCAGGCTTCTGTCCCAAACATTACATGTCAGTCACAGCCCTTTGGCTCCTTTCCACAGTGGCAGACTTGCAGTTCTGCTTCCAGGTACGTTGGGCCACTTGAAGAGGCAGGCATGCTCTAGTGGGAAATGTTACTTCCCTTTCCATATTCTTGAAACTACTGAACCTTTTTGACTTAAATGAAAGCAAAATTGTTTTAACACAGAACAGTCAAAGAGGGCAATAAAAGATGGCTGTATAGTCAGACAATTTTGAAAAGAGCTCCTGTGCTAGGGAACCCCAGATATATTGCTTTGTAAACTTGCTGCTTTTGAGAGACTCGCACGTGCCTTTTGAGCACCTCGGTACTCTTTGTGTGAGTGGTCCTGCAATGTGCCTGAAGATGACCTAGAGACCTGAAAACAAATCTGAAATACTTAATATACTGATACTTATTCCTTCTGCTGTTAAACTCAGCAAACTACTGAATTCTTTGTCCCCAGATGGGAGCAACAATCTCAAACAACTTGCGGCCTATAGTTTCACCAGAGAATTATTTTACGACCTAGTTTTGAAGGTGAACAGCTTTCCTCTGTATCCAGCAGAGAAGAGCTCATGGAGAAATGCATGCTGTGCAAAGATTACTTCAAAGGGTTGCCTGAAGAGTCTGCTGGGACTTGATTTTTGTCTCTTCCTGAAGCACCTTTCGTTATTGACAAAATTGTGGGAGTTTTGAGCTAGGAGTTTTGAGTTTTGAGCTGGGAGTTTCTTAGTGTCATACAAATACAATGAGAGCCCTCCACACCTCAGCTAAACTTCTCCTTTGGAAATTGTACACCTGCTTTGTCCTAAAATGAGATGAGCATTTGGAGAGCCTATATGGGGACATTTGGTGTTTATGGACACTGAACCGTTTTCTACTCTGCTTACTTGCTTGAGAGCAAGAACCAACAAGGCAGAAAGCAACTGTAAAGAAACTGAATCCAGAATTCTCTCAAAATAAGAGCTTAAAATGGAAAGATTTTTTTTTCCCCCAGAGCATACACATATGCCTTCATGGGACCTGACTGGAGAAAATAAAGCTGTTTTCAATCTCATGTACAGTAGCTGAAATACTTTGAGGTTTTGGTAATCCAAATACCTTGGGTTTTCAGCTCAGGGCCTGCTGTCTGCACCTCTGGGAGAAGTACTGCTTGAATTACTTGGTGAATGCTGTGCTGCTGTCTTCTCTTCCAGTCGGGGGCAGTGAGTCTCTGCGCTCATACTGGAAGATGTACTTGCCCAAAGTGCTGTTGCTGGTCTATGTCGTGGACTCGGCTGATCATGCCCGACTGCCTGTGGCGAAACAGCTGCTTCATCAACTAATCCAGAACGACTCCACCCTGCCTGTGGTAGTTCTGGCCAACAAGCAGGTAAGAGTTCCCTGCTGCTGCCACAGCTTGGGCTGGCAGCAACTTTGGAAACAGCAACAAAGCCTTTCAAAAGAGGCTTCATGCCTTTAAGGAGGGCACACGGCTGGGAGTCTTTCTGACACACCTGTTGACCGCAAAACAAAATAATCTGAGGTTGTTTTGGATCTGCAAGATGCAGGTCCTGTGCTTGGTGAAGATGCAATCAGAGCTGTGGGTGGAAGCTGCTGTACAGTTGCAAGGTTTGGGAACTTCAGGGAAGACCACAGTTAGATCTGAAGTTAGGTTTCTGTTCTGAGTATCTGCCTAGAAGTACCACTTCACCTAGGAGCAGCTAAAGAGTGAAGCACTGTTGTTTGCCTTCAGACTGTCTGGTTGCTTACTCCTAAGGCTGCTTCTGAAATCTGAGAGGAAGAGCAGCTTTCCTCACAAGGCAGTGCTTCCTCCTAAGATCTTTGTGGAAGTCTCAATGATCGGTGCTGTACCTGGAAAAGAATGGGACCTCTGGTACAATCAGATGACTGAAGACCCCAAAGGTTTTAATCACAGATTCTCCTTTATCAAGGTTGCATGCTCAGTTTGCTCTACATTGTTATCTCCTAAATTTCTAGTAACTGAGGCCCATTACTAGTAGTCTTTTATGTTACTCTTGAACACAAGTGCAGGCTTGGGCTTCATCAAACTCATCTGCATCAGAAACACTGGTGGATGAGAAGGCAGGCAGGGCATGACTGTTGTATATTTGCCCTATTCTTGTAACTCTTTGCTGGGCACCTGGGGTCTTGGGCCATCAGTGTTTTTGTCTGCCTTGTGCAGGTGGTCTTAGATATCAGAAACAGTGGAATTAGTGTAGAAATAGAAACAACTGTACCCATATTTCTTCAGGAAGAAATTAGGTTAGAAATTAACTCTTTTCCCCAAGGCATTTTAGGACATGGGAAGTGACCTCATAAAAGGTACATAAGAATGGTGCCCCAGAGCCTTTGAGACCTTCCCTATCCCTGGACAAAAGCAGTGGCTCAAAGTAGGAATGGTGCCACCACTTCTTGCAACTAACAGGGTTGTTTTATTTTTGTGTAACAGGACCTCGAAGGTGCATATTGCATCACTGATATTCACGATGCTCTGGCTCTGTCTGATATTGGGGACGAGAGGAAGATGTTCTTGATTGGTACCCATGTGGCAGAAGATGGCTCTGAGATCTCCTCCAGCATGCAGGATGCCAAGGAGCTGATAGGGCAGCTGGTTTTGGAAACACAGTGACAGCTCTTTTCTTACAACATGGTGTTTGCAGCTGAGGGAGAGCAGGTGTTAGTATATGGTCAGTTTGCTGTGTGGCAGCTGAAATTAGCAGATATGGTTTCCTGGTGGGTGTGGAATTCCTCTGAAAGTGATATCTAGTTGGTAAGAAAATCTTAATTTATAGTGGTTTGAAAATACATTTGAGAAGTAGTCTATTTTTAGCATATTTGTAGGAGAAAAATAGTCTGTCTCTTAGGCAGCAGATTTAAGGGGAAATATAGCTTAGATGGGCTAGATAACTTCATGTCAGGTGGGAATCAAGCACTGATTTCCATGGAAGACACTTGCATCCAGTGAATTTAATATGGCTTGATGTCTCAGGTTAAAGTGAAATATGTTTACTGCACAAATTTTACAGAACCCTTTTAACAGTGGTGTTCTGTTAAAAATGAGACCTCACTTCTTGACAGTGTCAGAAATTTAAAGTGCTGCAACTACTGTTTTTGACAGTGACAGTTCTTGTTGTTGTGTTGGACCCAGTTGTTATGGGAGTAGCAAATTGGTAATCTCTGGAAATTGGGTTGGTTACTGCTTCTTTAGTGGGTAAGAACAAGAAAATGAAAGCAGTAATACGTTGTTTCTTTGCCTACAGGCAAAAAACCAAAATGCTTTAATTTGAGGTAGTGACTGGATGCTTTTAAGTTAAATTGGTAGCAAAGGTGGGAGACTTGTCCATCAGGTTGAGCAGCTTATTTAAGCTTAGTCCGAGATGTCCTGGAGCAAGTAGTCTTATTTGTGAAAACCCTGTTTTTTCTTGACGGTGGTTTCTGTTAGCTCAGCAGGTGAGGCAGGTGACAAGCTGCTGAGGAGTGTCACTTTCCCAGTGTCCTCCTAATTATACTCAAAGGACATGACCCAGGAGCAGTCCTGTAAAGGACCTGTTTTGCACCCACATCTATTGTACGAGGCTTTTACGGTTTTGTCCTTTGTAACAGATGCATAAAGCAGAAAATTCCACCCTAACCACGGGTCCGGGCTGCTCTCTTCTCTTCCATTTGGGGAACAAGATGTTCGGGTGCGGGAGGCCTCTCTGGGACGGCCAGCGTGGCAGGGGACCTTGTCACCGCGGGCAGAAGCCGGGCCGTGCGGCGGCGCGGGCTGGGGCCGGGGCCGGGGCCGGGGCGGAGCTCGGGCCAGGCGGAGGGGGGGCTCCCGGGCGCGGTGGGCTGGCTGGCGCCGGCAGGCCCCGGCCGCCGCGGAGGGGACTGCGGGATGCCGGCCCCGTTGCGTGGCCTTCGCTGCCGTCGGGGCAGTGGCTGCACGTGTGGCCACGTCGCTGGTTTTCCTGTCATCCCGTAACCCCTACCCCCCGGCTGTTTTATACTGGCACCTGGTCCCGGTTTAATACAGCTGCTATTTCCCCGAGGCTCTGAAAACCTCCCCTGAAGCTGCCGAAGGCAGCCATAAGGGGTGGCTGTAGAGCAGGTGGGAGCCTGCAGGCTGGTGACCACTGGTGCTTGGGGTGCTCTGTCCTGCAGCCGTGGGGCTGCCAGCATCCCCCCGTGAGGAGCAGCCACCAGAGAGGAAGGTACCAGGGAAAAGCAGTACGAACATCTGCTGAGCAACTATCCTAGGGAGATGCACAAACTTCATCTGCCGTATGATTATTGCATGCTAAAGAGCAGGAAGCCCAGGCTCCAGGTGTTATCAAGCTTTTAAATTCACCTGTTCTTGTCTTTGCAGTGTCAGCTTTTACACCTTGCATGTGTATATACCCACGAAGCAGGTAAGAGGCCTTCCCCTCCTGGCTGGGTGTTGAGGCCAATACTCCATGTCTCTTGAGAGGGCTCAGTCAGGGATTTACACCAAGCAGTGAGTCAGTGTATCGGATGACGCTGATAAACACTTGAAATTATATCCGGTTTTGTCCTTACCTCAGCTTCTGAAAAACATCCAACCATCCTGCCCCTTCAAAACGGAAGCTGTGACTCTTTGCTTTACAAGGAATTGATCTCAGAAGGAGTTGATCTCCCTTAAGCAATGAGTGAATGCTCAGACAGTGGAGGGGAGGTGTTTCTGTGTCTGGCTGAAGCAAGGCCTTGCTGGGAAGCATGAGCAGGCCCAAACAACAAATGCTCCACCAGGGCTGTCTTGTCAGTGAGGTGATTTAACCCCTTCAAGTTGCAGAGCTGCTTGAAGGTACGTCCTGAGTGAGGATACTTGTCTGTCTAGAGCTTTTGCCGTGATAAATGTAATTTTTCTTTTTGTAATTGGAAAAAGAACAAAAAAAGATTGCCCAGTGAGTTGAGAGACCTGATCTGAATGCATGTATGCCTCATTCCTTGGCTGGATCATGATGCAAGCTTTGCACAGCAGTGTGGGGCGCTAGGGCCATGTGCACTATGTTGTGCTAGATTTGGCTGTGGCTGTGTGCTGGATCTGTGCCAGTGGCTGAGGAAAAGCAATGAGCCTGCTTGCAGAGATAGTGCCAGCTCTGCAACACAGCTGGGCTGGGGGGAACTCTGTGTGCTAATCCTTCACCCCCTTGCACCTTTGCAAGGAAAACCCTCTGGGGACCCGCTTGGGAATAAAGAGCTTAAACTGGGTTTTGGCTGCTGAAATGACGTCTGCCTTCCTGACCATGTCCTGTCTTGAACTGGTGGCAGGGGGCCAAAGTCCTACAGGCAGCTGCCTCTGTGGGATCTCAGCAGGAGCCGTGTTTGCAGCGCTGTGGCCCAAGTTAGGCGTGACAGGCATCTCGCGCAGTGACGATGCTATAACAGCAGCCTGCCATTTCAGGGATCTCTGTGGTGCTGAGCTGTCTGACAAGCATTTGCCAGGGCTTGGTATCTTACTAGCAGTATCAGAGAAACCACAGGTGTGTCTCCAAAGCACAGATTGTTTTCTGTTGCCAGGTATCTCTCTCTGCTGGTGTCCTTGCTCTTCTCTAGGGCCATGCTGCCACGTTGCCCGGTGAAATGGAGGAGGGAAGCAATGCCTCAGGCTTCCACCTTCTGTGTTTTTTTCCATGTGGAGCACTTCCACAGCTCCTGCACAGTGTGGTTGTTCACCAGCTGGCTGTGGGTAGGCACCCGTAGCCCCAGTGGGAGGGTATGGGCTTGGTCTGCGACATCGAGGAGTTGTGTAACACACTTGTGGCACTGGATTATCTTGTTCTTCTCTCTGTACCAAGGCTCATAAAGTTCAGGCACTTCCCAGTCACTGGGATTTCAGGCCTCAGCAGTGATACCTGATCTTCATGAAAGGTTTTGATCTGTTGTATATTCAGTAAAAACATTTCCAGAGCTGCTCCTAAGGCAGAGACCATGTATGTTCCTGTGTCTATACAGCATCTAGGACCTCTGTGCTAAGTGGCCTGAAATAAAATGTGCTCCTAAAGCCATGTGGAAACACAGTGCTGTCCCCATGGCGCCTTTTAATAAACCATGACATGGTGATAACAGGTGTTTGTTCATCTGGGCTCCCATAGGCTGGGAGATCATCCTTCTTGTACCTGTTTCATAGTATGTTATTGACCAGAAAAGTTTCTTCCCACTCTCCTAGCCATCAGTGGAGGCAGAATTGCAAATTTGTATCTCTGCTGTCCAAGGGAAAACACATAAAATTCATGGGCTGGTAAATTCACCAGATTAAATGGGTGGAAAGTACTTGAAGAGAGAGATCCTTTAACATGCTCTCTCAAGGGAATGGAGGCAAAAGCACAGGGCTTTGAGAGTGTTTGTATGGCTTTGAGTACAGCAGTAGCTTCTTTATGCTTTGTTGGTTTAACTGTATGGTTAATAGCATGTTTGTCCTTTTCTGCAATTTTGGCAGGATAGAGGTACTTGCAGACCCCAAGCCACTATTTTGCCAAGTCAGCAGTCCCACGTAAGTAGGTGTTCAAACAGCACTTGCTCAAGGGCTGGGGACTGACGGGACTCAGCTGGAGCAGACCCTTGGCCACTCCTTTCCCTTCTGTCCATAGAAAAGCAAACTGAGATGTTCCATACTTGAAGGGCTCCCTTCAATTTGCTCTCTCAAATTCTCAGTCAAAAACCTGGGCTTGGCCCAAGCCTTGCCTTTGTTGCCCCATCTGATCTGAGCTGTCCAGCTGAGATGTTGTGGGGTAGGATGGTGTGTGGTGCAAGGTGGCTGGACCATGGGAGCCAGGCTGCTCTGTCCTGGAGGCTACAGCCCAGCTTTAGGAACGGAGTTGCTGTCTGTGTGATGTGATCAAACTACAGCTTGACAAGCCAGGGCAACAATTTCTTGATAACATTTTTTCTCATTATCTGTATGGGTCTCGAAAAAGGCTCCACAAACTCATTGCCCTACTGTTCCCTGTCCCAGCTACCCCGGTACCCTCTCCCACCGTGGCCTCTCAGTGAGGGATGAGCAACTCCCAATTTGCCCTGGGCACAGGAGAGTAACCACTAACCTGCTGTAAAACCTCACCCACTTTCCATGGCACACCCTGACTGTAAAGTTGTTACTATTTTCACTCTCATACCTGTGGTATAGTTAGGTGGTAATGGTGAGGCAAAAGAAATGCAATGATGAAACTCCTCCAGGGGTTTCAGAGATGTAATGCAATGACCCTCTCTGTGCATCCACTGGTAACTAAAACCTATCACTTTAAGACTCTTTTCCTTTTAGTTGACAACAACCAGCAGGAGAGTGTTGGGAAATTCAGAGCCACAGAAGGAGAATGCTCAGGGGGTGCTAGTGGCACTTTGCAGGTGTGGGGAGCCATAGGGTGTGTTTGTGTGTGTGTGTTCCATGCTGGGCAGGGAAGGATAGCCTCAGCAAACACATTTCACACTTGTGCCTGTTACTAAAATTTGACAACCTTGCTGTTCGTGCTAGGCTTGTATGGGGAAACCAAGAGACGATATGGACCCTCTCACCTGGTGCTATGACAGCTCGGCCATCTGCAAGAACCTTGTATCTGTGCAAGCCCAAGAAAGATTTTACCAAGTATGGGCGCAGGTCAGTGACGTGGTAGCACATCCTGGGGAAGGAGGCAGCTCAGAGCATGTTCTCTAGGGGGCTATACTGGCTCCCAGGGAAAGGGGAGATGCCATCTCCTCTCCTGAAGAGGCTGCCCCGCAGATAGCTCCATGGCACTGAAACTCACCAGCTGTTTTGTGCTTGGAACAGGGGCTGTCTGGAGCAGAGAAGAAAGTGCTATGGGAGCATAGTCACCCTAAGTACTTGACTTCCAAAATGGGGAGGAACTGTGGAGTGCTAAATTGTGGTGCCCTTTTATCTCCTCATACCCAGTTCCCAGCTGTGAGAAGGACTTCTGCAACACATAGTTGCTGGTTTGATTAGAGCTCTGGGTTCCCATCAGCTGGCCTAGGAGCTTGTCTTGATCTCAGTCTCCAAGCACAAAGGGAGCATGTTGCTCTGCTGTAACAAAAATACCCATCCAGCAGCTGTGCTTTGGTTTGAAGTAGACATCATGTACATGCATACATTTCTTGATGGAATGTGTGTTGCACCTGTGAGTAGAGAGGAACTGTCCCTAGCGTGTTGCGTGTCCCACTGGCGCTGATGCAGCCCAGCCAGGCACCTGGACACAGTTAATGAACCCCTCTTGGAGTCTGACCTAAGTCTTTAAGGTAAAGTTAGGAACAGAGAAATCTTGCAGTGTTCTGCTGCTGGAAGGAATCCAGGTCTCTTGCCTTGAGTTAAACCTCTGCTGTCACTGCATGGTGTAAAACCTAGATCATGTTTTGGAATTGGAATGAAAATTGATATAAAAAGCATAAATGACAGTGGTGCTGCATTACTTGAAACAAGTAATTTGTAGCTCTGTTGGAGGAGATGAAGCTCTTTTGGAGTCAAAATGGTGGTTGCTAGTCTGTGAGAAGTCCTGGGAATGAGAATGGAGATGAAACTGTGTTGCACTCCTGGCTTTCCTCGACCTGGAGGAATGTCAAGACATGCATGTCTGTAGTTTTCTCTCCTCTGCCACTATCACCAGTTATGGGCTCTCGTCCTCCTGAGAGCTACTGTCTCTTGCTAAAGGTGTCCATACAACAGCACTTCCTGCCTTTCTTCTTACCTCTTCTTCCTTCTTCCCTGGTGATGACAGGCATATTCCAACAGTTATGCTTGTTTGAAAGCTGGATGAGCAAGGCACTAGGGGAGATACCAAGATGAAAGGAGCTACAAGGGCACAAGGTGCTATCAAGCCATTGTAACAAAGAGGTTTCAAAATGGCAGAGCTGACCAACATAAATGCTGCCAGATGTTGTGGGGCAGCTTCTTTAAATGGTTCAGGAGAAGCCTAGACTTTGAAAGCAGTGCACTGAGAGTGCTTAAAAGAGGACTCTTCAAATGCCAACAGCATTTAAAGTGAGGAAATCTCAGGTGTAAATGCCTATTTGTTCGTGGCTTTTCCATGTGCACCAGTGCCAAATTTTGTACATGCGGGCATGGATGTTTAACCAGACTTAGGTTACCATCTACAAGGATCATGCTCTCTGTTGCCTTTTGCTAGCTCTTCTGTGCTGCTTCTCAAAATCTTTCTTTCTGTACAGTTGCAGACCAGTAATCGGTGGGAATCCCCTGCTAGTGAAGTATGGCTACCCTTCCGAACGGCTGCTGAGGTTATCTGAACCTAAAAAATACCTCCCTGCTTACCTGGCGCAAAGGTGAGAGGCTGGAAAGCCTACAGGGTGTTATAGGTAGAGCTTTGGGTCTTGTAGCATCAGTGGTGTCTAATAAATGCAGGAACAGAGGATGGGTAAACAGAGGGCAAAAATGCAGAGCAGGGTCTCTGCTGCGATTAGAACTTCTGGATTCTCTCATGGGATGAGTTCTACACTGGAAATGGCCACAAGACAAAGCTGCCTTCTGCTGCAGCAATTGTGAGGCTTAGACAACCCAGCTGCTGCCAGACTGGAGAACAGCCGTGAGTGGCAGTGCCATGACTCTGTGCTTCCAGATCCCGTGAGTCCCCGGAGTGGCCTGTGTCCCTGGCTGCGCAGAACTATAATGCCTCCAAGCGGATACTGCAGCTTGCCCAGCCAAAGGGGCTGCACCCAGACTTCATGCCGCCCAGAGAGGTGAGGAGGAGGTTGAGTGAGATTTGGAGGGCACAGGGATGCAGCAGACTGTCCTGAGTTTCTAGACCCTGTATCCCACCCCTGGATGTGCCCAGTGTGTGGAGGGGAGAAGCTGCCTGGTTCTGCTGCAGTTTATGGCACTGGAAGAAACTCCTTTTCAGAGAAGAATGTTGTCTTTGCAAATCTCCTGCTGAGAGACAAAAAACAGCCAGGTTGGAGCAGCCTAGTATAGCAGGAGAGCCAAGGGAGGCATCTGGGCTGCATCCTCTGATAAAGCAGCCTGGGAAAGTGAAGAAACCTGATGGAAATGGCATGTTTAGCTCTTAGGGAGTAGTCATGTTTCTAGTTGGGCAGCTGTGCTCCTATCGGAGTACACAGGGGGCATGAGATTGCAACTACTATGTGTATTTTAACTACATTTTGCCAGAAGCCTAATTTATATTTCTGAACTTGTTCCTTTTAGGTGGGTCATTGCTTTGGCAGGGGTGAAAGGGCTTGGAGCAATCTCAGATTACACTCATTTCCATGGCAAAGGCTAGTTTTTCTGGATGCAGCCTCTGGGGCTGGGAAGAGGGAGGCTGGCCTGGAGCAGGACTGGGCAGCAGTAACCTGTGAAAAATTTTGGAAGAAGTCCCCCGCTGGAGAAGTAACCACATTTTCTGTAGGAATGCAGTTAACTGTAGCAGCAAATTTATCCTGAAATCTGAGTGTCTCTCCTTAGCAGGGAAGTTATTTGATTTGGCCAGGAAGATGAATATGAAAAACATGGAAGGAATTTCTCTGTACTTTTACCTGGCTACACAGGCTCTCATTACAGGAACTCCCCTCCTGGCTCTGAGTGGGCAACAGCTGGGGAATCTGTATAGCACCAAAATGACTTAATAGTTCAGGTGGAAAAAAAAAATGGATTCTGGAAAATTAAGAGTGACCATGTATGCAGAGGAAGGGTGCTGGGATGCTCATCCTTGTGGAGAGGGGGCATGTCCCTGTGGGCTGCTGTACAAGCTCTTTGTCTGCACATCCCTCCCCCATTCTGGATCCATGCAGGTGCCAACAGAGGTTTCCAGCTTAGCAGTCTCGGCCAAAGCATCGGCGCGGGTCCAGAAACTCGCAGAGCCCTTGATCAGGGAGATGACCTGTTGCCCCACGCACACCAAACCTGGTGTTGTCACGTCTACGGTAAGGCAACGTCACCTGGGACCCTACACGGATGGAACTTCTGGCACAGGAGAGGGCACAGGTGCTCAGTTGCTTGTGGCTCTCTTCATGTCAGCCCAGGATGTGCTGCTCTCCATGAGGGTGGCATAGCAGCACATATCCCTGGAGAATGGCAGAGCTGTTCCTAACCTGCACTTGCAGGGGCGGAGAGAGATGGCCAAGTGCCTGACTGGGATCTCCAGTGGGGTGGGTTGGACAAAGGGCTGTGAGTAACAGGAGGCTGCAGGGCAGGTTGTGGGACTAACGAGGCAGTGATTTCTTCTACAGTTTGCCTGGTGCCAAACACAGCTGAGGATATGAATGTGTCCCATCTGTGTGTGGTCAGTGCCTGTGAACCTGGTAACACTGAGTTGGTTGAAGGCTGAGCACCCTTGAATGCCAGGAGCATCTCTAAAGACCTTCCTCCCCCTTCTTCCTTCCACAGGTTTCATCTCGGAAGGTAATTGCAAGCCCTCGGACCATTGAGCTGTCGAAGCCCAAACAACTCCACCCTAATTTCCTGCCTGCACGGGATCCTGAGTGGCCTGTGACAAAGGCTGCCAAGCGTGCAGTGGCTACAGAAAGAATTGTGGGGCTGGCCCAGCCTTCCGCAAGGTAGGTACTGCTTCCCTGTCACGGGGAAACGGTCAGGTGCCAGCCCATTTTGTGTGGCTCATGGCACCTTGGTCATTTGTGTTTGGCCAGAGAGATCAGGCCAAGATTAGGAAGTGCTCTTCCACTTCCAAAATGCCTGGGTTTTATATGTTTGGATGAGTTAATGCTACATGGATTGCGATTTGAAAAGCCATTTTGAGGTAGAAGGAGAGTCAAAAGAGAAGAAACAGGAACTCTTTAATTCCAGCAGAATTACTGGTTGGGACTTGTTATTAATTCCAACTATAAAAAGCAACTAACTGGCAAAGGGCAGAGTGTAATACACTCGTGTTGCCCAGCATGTTGCAGCTGACCTCAGCCCAATCTGCAGGAAGTGCTGGGGGAGAATGTTTCACAGAGGATGAGGGAATGCCTGGCTGTGGTGGCTGTGAGAGATGTTCCTCCCTTCATGACAGCATTGGAGGTGTGATGCCTTTTGTCCTCCCTTGACAGGGAAGGGCAGGCTTAGGTGGAGGTGTGGGAGCTCGCAGGCAGCTGACAGCTGGCCTTGCTCCACTCAGGATTGACTATCCCTATTTCTCTCCTCCAGACCTCGTATGGGCTTGACTGCACTCAACCCAGATGCATTCAGAGTGAAAGAGAGTGCTCTGAAGGCAGTTTGTTCTCCACGGCTCGAAAAACTAGCTCAACCAATTCAGCGCTAAGCTCCTTCAGAAACGCTCCTGCCGTCTACCCACATCACCCCTTGGAACGTCACTCTCTCTGGGCTGTGCTGTGGCTGGAACATCTCTTTGAACACAGCGCAGAGGCAGCACTCAGCAGGAACACTTTCTGGGAGTTAAAATAAAATCATCATTCCTTAAGAATAGTCATCAGGGAAAATTACAGAATTCAACTTAATGTGGGAAGACTCTCTTCCTAGGATGGGTTATGTGTGGAGTTTCTGTCTTGATTGTTTTGCTGTAATAGTTTAAGAAGTAATGAAACAGCTGCTGGGGGAAGGCAGCACAGGAACTGACTGTCCTTTCATGCAGGGAAGTGTGGCAAACTAAACTCAAAAGCACACAGTAAGTTGATGCAATGCAACTCCTGAATTTGGGTTTTATTTTTTTTGCTAAAGTTTTAGCAAAACTTTAGTTTAGCAAAACTTTTGAGTGTCAGTAAGAATATCTTCTTACTGACACTTGAAAGTTTTATGCTTGTGACAGAAGTAGAAATACAAAAAGCTACAATGTATGTTGAGTCGGCTTGGATTTGGGGCCTGTTTTCTCAAATGCCTGGAGAACAGGCAGATCCAGTTACATAGGTGGGTTTAAGCTGTGTGGTTCAGATACTCAGTTGTGTGACCCTGGGCAAAATAAGAGAGTTCTATGTTGGGATTTTTGGAGCCTAACTCAAAAAAGCAGAGTTCCCCTCAGTGTAAGAGAGAAGGAAAGTTGCAAAGGCTAAGCAGAAAACAAGTGTTGATGCCAGAGTCTGCAGACCAAATTCTGAACTCCAGTCAGGTCTGTGGGTGAGTCAGTTTGGCATCTGGATTGCAGAGGAACAACACAGTTGTTCCCCCCCTGTGCAGGGCATGACATAAAGGGAGAATGCTTTTATCTTTGTCCTACAGGGTCAGTGTGTTTTACACTGGCTGCCCAACCACTGGTGACAGGCTGGAGATACTGAGGCAAGAGAGATGCTCACCAGTAAGGGACAAAAGCCACAAATGAAAGCATATGGCAGTTTCAGAGCCAATGTATTTTAATCTTCCCTTTGTTAAGCTGATTCTCCTTCCAAAGGAGTAGAGGCAGGTGACCACAAACCAGAAGGGGATTAATCAGAGGATCCATTAATTGATTCAGTAATCCACTAAGCAGGGGACTTTTGAACAAGGTAAGGTCACTGGGAAATTGTGGTTATTTTTAGACCAGGAATTGTCCTGTGCCAGGATGGATGAGAGTTCGGACTTTGTGGAAGAGCCCCACTGCAGCTGCATTCCTCAAGCTTGAGAATGGCCAGGAGAAGACTGGGGTCTCCCCCTAAAGCCCCCATACTGTGGGGGAACCCCAGCACCACCAGCCTCTGCCACCTTGGAGATTAGGAGGTGTGTGAGGTGGTGTGGGCTGCCATGCATGGACCCACAGGTGCCCTAGGAGATGAGGCTGCCCATGGCTGTCCCTGTGGAAAAGGGAAAACCCACTGTGCCCACTGAGGCTGCCTGGGAGAAATGTCCATCCAGAGGAAGGAGTCTGCCTCCTGTCATGGGGGCAGGGAGCACAAGCAGGGACATAGCACAGCTCCTGTCATCAAAAAATGTTGGGTTTTTATTACTGCACTGAGGAAAAAACCCAAAACAACCCATGAGTTCTTTCTCTTTGCTGACCTTTAACAGAAAGGTCAAAAAGGCATTCAGGGGGTGCTTGGCTTGGTTTGATTATGGTGTAGGCACTTGGTTTGCAGTATCCAGAGCTGATTCAGGCATGTTGAGCCAAATGTTCTCCAGATCACCTGGAGAACACACCTGGTTTTCCAGATGCCCTGCTCTCTGGATGATCTACACCTTAAAGCTCACACACATACTTTGCCTCTGGGGATTGTAAGGAAAAGGAATCTTTATTTCTTCCTTCTATATTTGAACATATATCATGGCAAAATTTCTGCAAGCCTGGGACGAGGGCATGAAATTGCCTTTTCTTGTGCAGCTGTTGTTAATGGGTTGGAATCACAAGATAGGTTATCAGCCATCAAAAGTTGTATACACACACGTATACATATATAGCTCTATATATATATAGTGGCTTTTTTTCTGGTTATGTACATGTTAAATAAGATTTATGTTAAATAGCAGAGTATTACTTTGTATCGCAAAACCTATTGCAACAGAAGAACCCCAAGGAAACCCACTCTGAAGAGCTTCACCATCCTTTGTAAGAGGCAAGGGGATTGGAGCAGCATCCTCTAGTCCCTGACAGACCCGCTTTCTGAGGGCAGCCCTTCAGACTTCCTCCACTCCGCCAGGCGCTGCTTGAACCATTTCTGGAGAGAAAGAACGAAGCAGAGACTGAGTGCACTGGGCTGAGCGAAGCCTCCAAATAACTTTTCTAAAGTGCAGATGTCAGCACGTGGGACGAGGTGAGGGGAACTCACGGTGCTGCTGCCTTGTAGCAAGGTGCTGTTCCCAGGCAGTACAGGCAGCCAGGATGGTTGCTCCTGACCAAACGGTCTTGTAACCTACGTGTGCACTTCTTTCAAACTCATTTCTCTAGTTCACTTCAGACCTTGACAGCATGAATGAATCTTTTTTTTGTATTGCTGTAAGCCCAGGTTTTTCTTGTAGAGTAAGAGATTGGCTAAGGAGCTGGATGGTGTCTGTTTAAATGACTGGAGAAGTGAAAAATCATTTGCAAGTTCAAAACTGTCAGGAATTGAAAGCTCACCTGTTTCAGAGAGCATGAAAAGTACAGCACATTGGCTCTCCAACAAATTTAAGAACAAATCTATTTTAAAAATTGTTTAAAAATTGTCTTAGTTTTAAGGCAATATGCACATCTATGTTAGCAGCACTTAGCACTATATCTGTTGTAACTTAGCATCTGGAAGCCTATTCCAGGAGCTGCTGATGCCACTTCAAGGCAGCCACAATTTGAAATATTAGATAAAATTTATTTGGTTAAAGCTACACTACCTAAGAAGAAAGGAAAGAAAAGAAATACTACTCATGTGCCGGAAGCACAGCTCAGCCTTTTGTTTGGCAGTGTGCCTGTGATTCCTTTTGTTGCAGTTCATTTTGTTGCTATATTTGTTCATGGTTATTTTTGAAGCTATTATAGTCCATAATGATACAACCACAGTGCCCTCTGTAAGTGCCTCTCATACTCACACTGCCTTTGACCACATCCAGTCATGATTGACAGCCTACCCTCCTCTCAAAAGTTTCACTTTCTGTCCTAAACCATAACCTCCTCTTTGCATCTCATTGTTACTGAATTTTTTATTAAAATGGCTGCTATTTCTAGATGATAAAGCACTCCAGATGTCAGGGGCAATGATTCCCTGTGTTCTACGCAATGCAGGCATTTTGCAGCTCACCACCCCAGTCTTGATCCTGTCCCTAACATGACCTCCATCTCCAGATCTCTAGGAGCACACTAGATTAGTGGAAAAAGATAGCTATCAGGGAGGATTTAAAGACAACTACAGAGGTGCCCTGGGCACAGGTATATGGCCTGTGTTTACAAGTTGCTGTAGGGGAGAAAAAAAAGGAACAGTGCCATTTCTACAGAGAAAAAGGTATTTTAGGGGTACTGCCTCCTTGCTGCCTCAAAGAAGCTGTGATTGATACCTGTCTGTCACCAAAGCACAGTCCACTCCAGCCGAGGACTATCAGTGCAATGGATGCTGTTCCAGCATCTTTCCCTGGGACAGGCTAATTGCCAGCTCGGCTTTTATACCCCTTTGGCTTTGCTGAGGGAGAGCCAGGCTTGGCAGCTCTCTGCAAACTGCTGCTAACTTCCCAGTGGGATGGATTTCTTTTCTACACCCATAAATGTTGCTGTGGGTCTAGTAAAAACCTACATCACAATGAGCTGCACTGCCACCTGAAGGAACTGGGAAGAAGCCGTTTGCTTCTGAAGCTCACAGTAGCCTGCAGGTAGCCAGTTGGAACACAGGGCTTGGTGGAATTCCCAGACAGTGGCAGCCTGTCCCTGTGGAGGGGTATTTGGAGGCCTCTATGTCTCCTGGAGAGGCTGACAGACTTGCCTGACATAGGGGCTTAGGGACGCTGAGGGGGAGGGTGCACAGCCTGAGCATGTCCCACATTCAGGAATTGCATCTATCCTCTATCTGTTTTAAAATGATAGTAGTTTCTTCAGATCTTAAAACCAGCAGTAGTTTTGGCATCCAAGACTGTCAGAAATGGTTTGGAAGAACGGCATGCACGGGTTGTAAATTCAGGAGCAGAAACACGTGGAGTGCAGGAAGGATGTGGGGTACAGGGAGGTGCTGTGTTGCATTAGAGCTCTGTGGGTGCAGCTAGGGGTGTGCTGGGGATTGCAGATGTGCAGAGGACACCTGTGGGTGCAGTGAGGAGAGTGCAGGGTGCATGGTGGTGCAGGGAGCACATGGGGCACAGAGGAGTGCAGGTGGTGTGGGGGGAGCATGAGAAGGGCAGGGGCTGCTGTAGGAAGCCACAGGGGGACAGACGGGTGCAGGTGTATGATAGACCAGGACAGGAGATGTGGGACACAGAGGCATGCAGGGGGAGCAGGGCTGTGCCAGGGGCAGGATGAGGGGCACACACTCACCAGAGTCTGCTCCTCGGAGAGCCCGGTCTCAGCAGCGATGAGGCACAGTGTGGTGGGGTCAGGATGCTTATTCACCTTGCAGAAGTGGTGTTCCAGGATCTCCAGCTGCTCCTCAGTGGGAATCACTGGCTTTTCCATGGCCATCTCCTCCTAGGGCAGGGCTATGGGGCCAGGCACTGCGGAGAGGGGCTGGTGTCATTGCTCAAGCTGGGAGTGGCCAGTGGGGCCGCACTTGCTGAGCCCCAGATTTGCCATCCGTGTCCCGACCAACCGCCCCCCCAGCCCCAGCTGTGGCCTCTGGCTGCAGCAGGGCTCAGCGCCCTTCCCAAAGGCATGCCAGGGAGCTCAGCTGGGAGCACCAGCCCCCCAGCAACTCCTGTCTCATTTCCTCCCTGCAGCGACCACACGGCAGCAATGCCCAGCGCTGAGCTGCCTCACCATCCTCAGCTGGCAGGAAGCTGCAGGCTGCTCAGCACTCCCCTGGTGCTGTATTTATAGCCAGTGTGACTCCCATGGGAACGATTCCTGTTTACAGCCCTATTTAGGCCTGGGCGTCACTTAGGAGTGATGTCACAGCAATGGGCATGTGCAGGGGGTTAATTTAAAGACATTAGTTTAAAAACATTATTAATCCTCTGGGTGAAGGGACAATATCTGACACCTAACCTAGTGGGTTGTTGGTTATTTTTTTTCCCCCTGCTTCCCAGTTATCAGGCAAGTTTGTGCAAAGGAATGATAGAACAGAGCATACAAGATCTTCTGGGAGCATGGTCTTTGATCCAGAAACGACCTTGTTTCCACTCTTCAGGATCAGTGTCCTGGTCCTTCTCTTAGCAGTGTGGCTGGACATCACATAATGCTGGCCATGAGAAGGTGAGCTGCAATGTTTTAAGTAATATTTAATGTTACCACACGTGGGCATAAACAGTTAGTCCTATTGTTCCTGAGCATCACTGAACTGGTTAGTTGATTGACTGGGTTTTTGTGTGTAAGTGTTCAAATCCTCAAGGACTGTACCCAGTGTATGTCTGGTGCTCAAGCACTTGCTGCCTCTGACTGTGGTCAGTCCTCGGTGCTGCCAGCAAAGGCATCACCGAGAAGCCCACATTTTCCTCCAGAGTAACACTTGTCCCACTTGTGCTTTGCATAGTCTCTGGAAGATTTGGCCCAAAAGAGCAAGCAAAACAAGTGCATCTTGGCTAAATCCCACACCTCTCTTCTTCTGGGCTCCAGGTTTGCTTTCACATGGCAGAGGGTGGAGCTTGCTAATTTAGTCAACTAAAACACAAGGCACTGCTCCCATGCAGAATGCACAAGTCCCTTGATGCTGAATCACTGTGGTGTTTTTGAAACCAGGCTGTGGGGTATTGGCAGGGGAGGAGCTGGTTGCAAAATGTGGCCTTTCTTGATCTGCTCTCCTGCTGTCCCAGTTGCCTGGCCCGTCTCTGTTGGCTGGTTGGTGTTGCTGGTTGGTGTTGCTGATTGGTGTTGCTGGTTCCCCAGTGCTGCCAGGAGCCCTTGTCCCTTCGTGGGACTCCTGTGGGCCATCTTCTGCAGACCTGCCCTGCCCCCAAACTGCAGTCCAGCTTTTCCTTCCCTTTGGCTCTGGGGTGTAATCCTGGAACATCATGCTGCACTCCTACTGCATAGGTTTAAACCCAACTGCTTTCTTGGTTGAGTGGTAACTCCCCTTTAGGTACCCTGGGGTACTGAATGCCCCAGGGCTTTCACTTGCTTACAAAACTGCTAGGATGGAGCTCAGCTTCAAAACTGTCTTGCAGCTTGTGAAGAGCCAGGCATAGTGAGAGGCTGGAGAGATCCTCTTCTTTGAACTTTACCTCATAAAGCAAAGATCCCCCTGAGCCTCCTCTACAGAAAGTGCTTTGAGCAATAAAAGAATCCTTTGGCATTTGAGTAGGGGCTTATAAATAGACCAGGGCTGGTTGTGAAACAGCCCACTCTGCTTGAGTCACTTGGTAAATACCGATTGTAACACAGTGGTTGTGTAACATTGGAGCACCTCTGAGCATGATGGAGTGCTGGTCAACAATACAGACAGTATCACCCACCAGCCCTGGGTGGACTGAGGAAAGACCATCTCTAACCCCAGGTACTGCAAGCCAAACTGGCCTTGTCTGCACTGTGTTGCAGCTGCCTGGGTTTCCTGGGGTCAGCTCAGTTCAGAAGCATCCATATAGGAAAGGGGCATCATAATTCAGTTCCTCATTCATGTTAGGTAGTAGGAGTCTCCTGAATGCTGCTCACCTACCTCAGATGTTTGTAGACCTCTGGAAAAGATGCAGGAGTAGAAGGAGGTCCCCTGGACTTGAGGTGTTGCTCTCCAGCACTGTGGCTGCCAAGCTCTCCATGAGGTCAAAATGCAGATGAGGCCAAGCTCAGGCCACAAGTCCTGCCTCTCTTTTCTTTTAGCACACGACTGAGCCACCTGCCCTTCTCATAGAAAGCCCAGCCACAAAGGGATCCTCATCACCTCCAGATCATGCACCTAGCCCAGGCCACCAGCAGCAACATGCCTTGGCAGCTCATAAATCACTGTTTGCAGCCTGCCGCATTAATGTGCATTGATGTGTGTGCCTGGATTTGCATAGGGAGCACATGCTTCACCTTTCATGTTTCACCTGCACAGCTATTTCTGCTTCTGATTATCTCCGGGTTCCTGAGGCGTTTCCCCATAGGACACAGTATCTTCTACCTGTTGGCAGCTCAGGGTGCCCCAGCATGTGGGATGTGATGCCTGATGGCTTTTCTTTGTGTCCCCTATATCCCTGCTCTGGAAGGAGAACACTTTTTACCTCTCAAGCTTGTGAGATGGGTTTCAGGAAAAGGCAAAAACCTTAGGGCTCCTGGAGGGCTTTGCAGGTCTCCCCACATCACTCCACTATGTCCTGGAGGCTTTCAGGAGCCATGTGACCCCTGTGCAGCATATGGCCTCTAGCACTTGGCACCTCCTGCATGCTAAATTTGGGGGTATATGACATGGCACCAGGAGTGCCTAAATGGCCAGACTGGCCCTATTGAGACCACTAATCACCTGCCCACTACTTAAATGGAGCCTGGTTTAAGCCCAGGCAGTCAGCTCTGCTTCAGGCTGTCCAACATCTTTCCCTGTACAGGAAAGGTGATTGTCTCACTTACATTTCTTTAAGCCTGGCAGAAATATGGAGACTCACAGCAGTTTGGCCTAGCTGCTGAAAAGCACCACTTCTTACTGCTTTTTTCCTCCTAAATTTTTGACAACATTAAAAAAAAAAAAACCAAAAAAACAAAAAAACGAGGCATTTTCAGTGCAAGGAATGTTAGCCATTCAGAAGGGCTGTGGGGCTGCAGCTGTCATTCAGCTGGGGTTTACTCACCCAGGCAGAAATGACAATGTCAGATGCACTGTCACAGGGAAACCACCACACCTGCTCTGTCCTAAGTGTCAAGCTAAAGACCCCTGGGGAATTCACACTTGGCTCTGACTGTCGTGTTTTAGGTAGAGCGATGTGAGAGCAGAGGCTTGCAAGTGGATCAGCAGCTGCCTGGGCCATGGGCAGCTCCAGCCAGCATTGCTGTGTACATGACAGCACCTGGTGCTCTTAGTGTGACTGATAGGGCATTAAAATGCACCTCCTGGAATGAGCAGACAAAAGATAATGGCTGATGGACACAAGTTGCAGCAAGAGAAAGTCTTATTATAAATATATAGTACTCTGCCCAAGTCCTGTGGTTGCACCCAGCTCCACAGAAACACCCTGGGGTTACTAGCAGAACTTCTAGCTCTAGCCTGAAAGGACATCTGAGAGGACATCTTTCTGTCTCCCAGCATGCTTGTCCAGCACTGCTAGTGCAGTCAGCATTTACTATCCTGGCAGAAGTCTGCCACTTTTCCAGAAAAGACGTGATCTCTGTTTGCTCAGCTTTGCTTTTTTGAACAGTAGTCACAATAGCTGTCTGGCTGTGCAGCTTTCTAATGATTTACTGCACCAAAAGCCCCTAGAAATCTCTCTGAGCAGTAGCTCCTGCCAAGCTGATGGGGCTCCATAGCCTCTGCTGGGCTTCTTGACCCCTTTCCCAGAGCTCCCACTGTCAGGGCTGGGATGCGACTGAAGGCATCTGCATCTGGTTTTAGCTTGCAGCTATTTCCTGCCACTGCAGGGATCAAAATAGCAGTTCTCAATGCAAACGAGCCCTCTTACCCTCCCTTGCTCTGCTGCAGAGCCGTGTCCTGTCCTGAGCTTTGCTCATCCTCCTGCTGTGGGGTGGCTGTGGATAACATCAGCCAGCATGGCGCACAGGATAAGGTGGGACAGAGGCTTTAAAAATAAACCGGGCCCTGCCATAAATAAGGAAAAAACACCTGTCATGCATCCTGTAAACTACCCGTCCAGTCTTTTAGAAGATAACATCGGATGGGAACAAAGCAAACAGGAGCGCAGCAGCTGCTGCAGCAGAGGCAGGACCCCGCGGTGGCCCCTGCCTGGGGTCTCTCCCGCCTGGGTGCCCTCCTGCCTGCCCCTGCATGAGCCTTCCTGCCCTGCTGCGTGCAGCTCCGACCTCCTCAGCATCAGCACTCACAGGGGAGCTCCTCCCTCCATCTCCCCCATCCCCAACTGCAAACCCACCCCAGCACCCCCAGCTCAAAGCCTGGGCTTACCTGGAGCTGGCAGGGACCAGAAGTGTGTAAAACAAGAACCCCGCAGGTCCTTGGGTGACTGCTTAAGTATCTGCGTGTGTGTTTGACAGGCGGGGACCTGAAAAACCTGCCGCAAATCACAGGAGCTCGCGGGATCCACAGCCGCTCTCAGGGCTGGTAATTCAGGTTTGGCACCCGCTCCCTTTGGCAGGGCTCCCTCCGCGCGGGGCTGTGCGCTCCGCGGGCTCTCGGTGGCCCGCCAGCCCCGTCCCGCCGCGCTCGGGGCCCCAGGACGCGGTCCCGGCCGGGGCTGCTTCCTGCGGGGTGCAGGAAAGGTGCAGGCGGGGTGCGGCGGAAACCGCGCTCCGCCCGGCGGGGCTGCAGCCGAGCCCGCCCGTCCCCGCCGGGCTCATCCCGCTGCGCCCTGCAGGGAGCCCCGCTCCCGCCTTGGCCCGTGCAGCCGGCAGCGCTGTGCGCAGCTGGATTCCCACCTCGCTTTAGTGCCTTGCGTCCAGGTTTAATATTCCTGAGTCTGCTGTCACTTCAGTCAGCCCTGTGATCCCGCCAGGCCGGGTGTAAGGGCAGGACTGGGTCCTGCAGCTGTCCTGCTGCTGCAGCCCTCAGAGGCACAGCCTGCCTGGGGATGGGGAGGAGAGCAGGGCGTCCTCCTCTGCCAAAGCCTCGACTGAAGTGCCCAAGAACCTGCAGTTCTCAGTGTGGTGGTCTGGAAGCATTAGACAACAGCTTAAAAAGAGGCATCTTTTGGGGTGGAGTGCAGTGGGGAGGGGCTGATTTTTCTCTCAGTTTATAGACAGCTGGAAGGGGATGCTGGAAAGGGATGCTGGAAAATCAGAGAGGCTGAAGAAAGAGCTCATGAAAAATTGAGTATGGCTTGCAGTGGCTGGGATTATCTGCCAGAGCAAAACTCAAACTGGCACAGAATGCAAAAGCTATGGAACTGGCTGGAGCCAGAGGGAGGGAGCTCTGACTCTGGGGAGAAGTGGATGGACAAACCCAGGGAAGAAACCTGCCATATGTTTAGCAGTGAGCCAAGACCATCCTGAAGAGGTTTCGTAATGTTGGGGGAAACATGGGCCAAGGAAAGGAGATTGCAAAGAGATCTGTGCCAAAGGACAGGCAGACCTGTGCTAGTTTTCCTAGCAGGATGGCATTGATCAAGCAAGTTTGGGGGACAGCTTCACTGCCTGATAAACCAAATGGTGCTGTTCAGCGGCTGCCAGAGAGGTTTTTGGGAGAAGACTTGATCCTGCATGCCTTGGGCAGGAACCTGGCCAAAGGAGTATGTCCTGTTTATCACTGGTGCTAAGCAACAGGAGCACAGCTAGCAATGGGTGCACACAAGCAGATTGGACAATGTGTCCAGGGGATGGCTCCAGGAGCCGTGGCTGGGGGCATCAGGGTGCATTTAAGGAGGCTGGAGCAAACCCCTGCAGCGGGACTCAGCCTTGGATTTCAACCCCAGTGTGGGAAAGTCCAGGCAGAGGTCCCAAATTGCATACTGACACGTCCTTGGGGGAGCTCTCAGGGGTATTGCTACTTATCTGCCCCATGTCTGTGCTCTGCTCTGGCATCTGCTCTTGGCCAGCCTCGGCGACAGGACAGATGGGAAAATATTCTGGTCCAGAAAGATTTTCCTATGTTTGTATGCTGTCTTTTTTTTCCTTCTGTACATATGCCCTGAGCGTTGCAAAATGTGAGTAACGTGGCCTGCAGGAACAGGATGGGCTCCTCTCTTCCCTTGTTTATTACTGTCAACGGAGAGAAAGCCTTTAATGTGGAAAAACCCTTTTCTCTTAGCTTGTGAGCCCAGCCCAGGCTTGCACTGGGAGCACTAGCAGTGACGTGTTTCAGGCTGAGACACCCCATTGAAATGGTTTCAGAGGTGCTGGGAGTCCTGCAGTGACAGTGTGAAAGTCATGTCACAAATCTGTGTGCATCTGGCTGGCACATGTTAATGCTTTTCTGACCTTTTCTGAAATCTTTTACGCCCCATATCACCTCCTGGGAGAGGGTTGAAGTACTGCTGGAATTTAGGTCTCACCTGATATGAAGAGATCCTGTCCCAGAGGATGTCCTTTGTCAGCAGAATTAGATTAAATAGAAACAAAACAAAGAGTGCATCCAGTCCCATCACAGAGACTTTCTTCCTGTTGAGAAGAAGTACAGTTCTTGTGATGTACATTTGACAATTTTGCGTAATACTGTGGCATTGCAGGGAGGGGTTGGCAGCTGCAGCCTGCATTCAGCACCCCTCTGCTCTGGACCCCTCTTCCAGAGGCTTGAATATCATCCATATTGCTCCATGGCAAGATGTTGGCTAAAGTCACTTTTGGGGGGAGGTGGGGTGGGCATTTGACACACAGCTGATGCCCATCCTGGCCCAGTTGTTGTTCCTTTAACACTGCATGGAGACAGAATGGAAAAAAAAAACATGGAAAGGAGAGGGGGGAAGCCACTTGTCAAGCCATCAGGATAGAATGGGCTATAACATAGCTTTTCTGACTTGTTCATGTTTCCTCCTTTTCCTGCGTCTCCCTTGAATTTTGCCGTGTTTTCTTTCCTGAAAATGAGGCTTAGCACCAGCACCACTTGTCTGGGGATTAAGCAGAGATTTTCTTCCTTTTTCTGAGTATGTGAATTAAAAAATATGTGCTTTCCAGACTCCACCCCAACCCAAGTGTCAGAGAGAGCGCAAAAGCTTCCTTTCTCCCTCTGAATACCTCAATGCAAAGGAAAACCTCAAATGCCATCTTCTGTTTTGTTTACCAGTGGGTTTTTTTTTTTTCCTGGTGTGCTGGGGTTTTCTGGCCACTAATACAAAAAAAAAAAAAAAAAAAAAATGTGGCTGGAAACAAGGGTTCACAGAATATTTTGGCTTCCATTCAGTTAGAGAAGAGTTTTCTAACTAGCCAGTACTGACTCACAGGACAACTCTTGCAGCTAACCAGATGAGACTTCTACCTCCATAAACCATTTGCCCATAAGAGATTGGTTGTTCTTAAGGGTGCAGCTGGCAATTGCCTTTGTTGGACATCCCAACACACAAGAACTTGACTGAGTCATTGTTCTTTTGATCAGTTTTTTCCCTAGGAGAGCAGCAACACTGGTTGTACCCCAGGAGCCGGCAGCACACCGTGCTTACCCAGACCGTGCCCTGGGCAGGGGGGAGAGGAGGTGGGCACAGGTGGCTCCTGCTGCTGGAGCAGGGCTGCTGGCCTGGCCTCAGCAGCTGCCTCTTCTGCTCTCTCCTTCATGCATTTTCCTTTGGTTTTAGTGGGCAGGGTTCAGCCTGTCTCTCCTCAGCAATAGAAGGGATCCAGGCCAGACAGATACTAATCAGATGTGACTTCCAATAAGATTCCTGCCTTTACTTTGTCCGTGGGATACAGTTGTGTGGATGGAAACTGCAGTGTTTTATTATTCCTCCCGTTGTTCCAGCACTTCTCAGAGAACAGTGTCATCTCATTGGTATTTCCATGTGCAATCTCTGCCTGGGGTACAGTCTTCCTCCCAACTCTCACTCTTACTAGCCAGATTGTTTTGAAGTGACTAAACCGGGAGTTGATACGTGCAGTTCCTTGCCGGGAGGATTTTCAGCAGCGCTGGCATAGCTTGTAGGCAGAGCGTGCTGCAGCACGCAGAGACAGCCAGCAGGGCATCATCACACGGGAGCTGCTGCCGTGCCCAGTCCAGGAAAACACTGGTGAGGGGCAGGGAGGGAGGACAGAGTAGACCTGCAGATCCACTCTCTACCCTGGGAGTGCCAGGGGTATGTGCAGGGGAGCGAGTGCCCTTGCACAGACTCGGATAGCTGTGCGTTTTCTAGGGAGCAACTCAGGGATATGGGGGCTGGAAAGTGTCTGCTGAAATCTGTTCTGTTCTGAATCCCTAGGCTGAAGCTGCCTAGAAAGCTTTTGGAGATCCTGACTCAAATACTTCAGTGATCAAATACTTCAAGGTCAATGAAGGGACTTTATCCCTCCCCAGAGCAGGGATGAACTCTGTCCAAACACTTGCCTGCCACCATGGCTCTCAGTTGCAGCAGGAATGCTACCCTGAAGACCAACTTCAAGGGTCTCAGCAGGGCAAGCACGGGTGCTGACCATCCCATGACTTTACTCAGCCTTCACCATGAGGGACAAGGACCAAGTTTTCCCCTGTGCTGTGCCACGCCAGGGAGCCCACAGGTTCCTGGCCCATGTGCCCACCTCATGGCAGCAGTGCCATGCAGCTGGCAGCCTGTGGTTTCTGTTGGACCAGTTTTGACAGGCATGTGTGGAGAGGTGGCTCTGGTGCCACCAGCTGCTGGGCATTGCCACAGCCAATAAGCAGGACCAGTCATCTCTGTGTGACACACACCACAGCCCCTGTGGCACATGTGGTGCCCTGTGACACTGGCAGACGACTAGAATGACTTGCAGAGTGACAATGAGTAGGGAAGGAACGTAATGGAGACTCTGCTCCACCTGCTGGGTGTCAGGGAATGGCTTCAAGAGTCCTAAGCGATTAACTTTAAAAATTTTGTTCCCTTTAGCAACCTGGTTGCTAAAGAGGGCTCCTGGAAAGCTGGAACTGACAAAGGATGCTAGCTGCCCATAGTCTTCTCTACACAGCTGGCCACAGCTGGGGACAGCTGAGTGAGCACAATAGAAGCACTCACAGATGCCTTTCTCATTGTTCTGACAGCCTCATCACCCCAGGGAAGGGTCACCCTCAGTGGGACATCCCCTGCTCCTGGGATTGCCCCCTGCTCCAGCTCTGGGGGCTCAGGCACTCCACTGTCAGAGGCTTGTTTGTGTGTAGTGTGCCTGGCAGAGAGGCTGCAGGGTGGAGGAGGGTGCCTTTGCCCTGTCTCTTGGGTATGGTGACTGGGCTGGTGGATGGGGTGCTTTTCGGGGAAGGAGTATGGGAGCAGGGTGCAGTGCTGCACAGGCAAGCAGCTGGAGACTGCTCAACCCATGGGAGAGCCCAGCAGGCTCAAACAAGCACAAACAGCCTAAGAAACCTGAGCTAACAAAGCTGTACCTGCACCACTGCTTAGGAAAGTCACACTCTTGTCACAGCACGTCTTTTAGCACCTTGTCCTGCTGGAGGGAAGTGGTTTGGGGGACACCCAAGGCTGGGGGCCAGTTCCCATCAGTGGTGAGGGCAGGTTCTGGAGGCTCACTGCCAATCTGAGGCTGTTTGAAGCAGAAGGAAGGCTTCTGGCACTGGCGTGGGATTGCTCTCATGTTGCTCCAAGTGTCTGTGTGCCTGTCTCTTGGCTGGCTGGTGCTACATACAGCCAGTCTGTCTGGCTTCTCTGGGTGGGCTTTTCTCCCTTCTTCAAAGGCTGCTTCTCATCCTAAGCC